ATTAGAAAAATCAGTCGTGTGATTCCTGTCCAGTCAATCATATGGAAGGTAAATTGCATCATAATGAACTACCGCAAGACACGGGCGATTTATAATTGCAGCAAACTGTTTGTAAGCAATAAATGTGTCCAAGAAGATGTCCAAAATCTTTACACACATTGACTCAGAGACTGTTTAGAGGCATGTCACTGATGAGAAGATGATGGATGTTTTTGAAATGGCCTTAAACACCCAGCAGGCACAGGACATCAACATGACGTCAGATTGACATTGCAACCTAACATTGTGGGGACATTGCATTTTGTTTGTAAAAGGGAAATTGTGTTGACATTAGAACCCAATGTCAGGCTGACAACGTTGCAACCTAAAATCAACTAAATATCAATGGGTAACTACTATATGATGTCTATCAGATGTTGGATTTTGGGTGCCAAACCAGACTAATAATTGTCAGTATTTGATTTCAATATATGATGTTGGTTTAAGATGCTGGCTCGATGTTTAATTTTGGTCATTTTCTAATACAATCTAAAATTAACCAAATATCAACGTCATTTATTGTCATTATTGGACATCTAAATAATGTTGTGCTTAGATGCTGGCTAGACATTGAATTTTGGTCACCTGACATCACAAACTAAATCTAACCTTATATTAATGTCTTATGACATTGTGTGCCTGCTGGGCAATAACTAAATGCACTACAGGATGTTACGTTTGCACACATCCAGCAAAAAAAAAAAAAAGCATCAGTTTTTTTACAGCATAATACTTACTACTCTTGAGTACTTTTAAAAGGGCTACTTTTGACTCACACTACATTTTTAGGCAAGTAATGGTACTTTAACTTAAGTGAGATTTTTCAGTTCCCTTTCCACCACTGCTTGAAGTAAGAAAGTATATGAAAGTCTGACAAACAAATGTACAAGACTTAAATGAGGGAAATATCTAAAATTCCATGTAGCAATGTAAACAACAATCAAATTAAAAAAGGCACATACAATAAAACTGTTTATTTAAAGCTGTGGTCACCAAACTTGTTCCTGGAGGGCCGGTGTACTGCAGATTTTAGCTCCAAACCTAATCAAATGCACCTGAACAAGCTAATCAAGGTCTTACTAGGTATACTTGAAACACCCAGGCAGGTGTGTTGAGGCAAGTTGGAGATAAACCTTGCCGGGACACAGGCACTCCAGGACTGAGATTGGTGACCCCTGATTTAAAGTGATTGAAAAACAATATATTTTAATGTCTACTGCAAATTTACCAAATATATACAATATTTTGAGAGTGTAGGGAGACCGACTTGTTACATAATATTTGTGACTGTGGGTGGGTGGAGCTAAAGATTTCTTTTGGTGCTTTGTTCATTGAAATCTCTGATTGGTGGAATTTCTGTACAGCATTAAGGGTAATGTAATTTAAATTATTGTTATAAAAAATAATATGAACTGATAGATTCAGCTAAAGCATATATAATTCATTAATCAACTGATTAACTGAAAAACGATTATCATCTAAAAAGAAAAGGAAAAAATTAAATAAGTGTTAAAAATTCAGATCTGTGAGATAAAAATTGCAATAGCCTTAATCTTTAACTATTCTGGGGCAGAAATAATGATATGAATGTGTGATGCCTTATGTCCACACCCCAAATTAAGTATTTGTAAAGTATTATTTTTTTAACTGTAACTAACAAACCTGATTGCAGGTTTAGACCTAAGATACAACTGTATCACAGATAAAGGAGCTGTTCATATTGCACACCTCATTCAGGTATGTAATGCCATCAGAGTATTACAAAATACATTTCATGAGCCTCATCATGCTTAAGATTAATTTTAACCAACCTTTCTGGTATGTATGTTAACAGGATAGTAAGTCCCTGCAGTCTCTTGATCTGATGTGCAATGATATTGAAGCAGATGGTGCAGAAGTCATAGCAAAAAGTTTGCATGTATGTGTGGCCAACACTTAAATTAAACTCACAGGTATCTACATTTGTTTCAATATAGATTTAAAATGCATGTCATTTCTTAAAATTGTACAGAAAAACATTACTTTGAAGACACTCAGAATGACGGGAAATAAGATTGGAAACCAAGGTGCAATGCAGCTAGCTACCATGCTACAAATCAACGCTACTTTAGAAGAAGTAGACGTCTCAGACTGTGATCTGGTGAGTTACCACAGAAATATAACCACAAAATAAAGATAATCTACAGTCGAATCAAAGTAATTTGTTTATTCACTAGGCTACACAGAGTGTTATAGCATTTGCCATTGTTCTGATGAACAACAAAAGAATCTGTGCCATTAATGTAAGCCGCCCACTTCTTTTCAGTCTTCAGGTATGTTTTCAGCATATATCCACTCTAGAATTGATTCATTTGGTGAAATATGTTAAAAGTAAGCCTTACTTAAATGACAGGAGGAAACGACAGTCCATATGGCCCAGATGCTGGTGGTGAATAACACTCTGAAGGAGCTGCACATGGGAAAGCATGACATGACTGATACTGGTGTGGAGACGCTATGTGAAGCACTGAAAAGAAACATCTCTCTACGCTACTTGGATCTTTGCTGGTATACACTCAGCACGTCATGATTTTGCAAAATACGAAGC